TAAGCTTTGCTATCATCACTGGCACAACTGCATGACTGGCGACCATTACATGAAGGTATCTAAAGGTCTGCCGATGCCACGCAATGAGCTGCTAGTTGTAAGGTGGGAATCCTGGCCTGGAGTACTTGCGCAGTGCCTCATGGTCAGGTCCTCAGCATGCAATTCCCTTGCCAGGTCAACATGGCAGCGTGGTCTTACTGCCGCCTAAGCGCCACCACATGCCTATACACACAGGAGTCGTAAAAGGACTGCTGTCACACGTTAAGATGGATGAAAAGCTCCGAACTTGAGAAAAAGCATGACCCTGACGGTTCCACATCAATTTTGCAACAGCCCTCACATGAGATCTCTCCCCTTCAGTGGCTTCAGTCTGCAGGTGGTTCTGGTCCTGCTCCTGCTGCTTTGGCTCTGCGCTGCTCTTACACTGATTGTTGGCTAGGGTGGGCGACTCTTCCTCGGGTAAGAAGGCCACCAAGTGGAGCAAACTACTTCTCAGTTCTGCGTCGCGGCCAGAAACAAGAACGTTAAAAGCTTCAGCAGAACAGGGAATGACAGATCACGCTCGCTTGAATTCCGTTTGAAATACCATTGAAGCCTAGCCGAGTGGCTCGTGTCAGCTTGGGAACTGCTTTCAGCTTCGAAGCGTGTAATGCTGGCGCGAGACCGAAAAACCTCTGATGATGTAATGCGGATGTGGCAGCCATGGAGAACAGCAGTCAGAACTTGAGAGCAGGTCCAACCTCAGCATTAGGTTCAAGATTGTTGGGTTCAACAGTGTCGCAACCCAGGATGGGACTAACGGTTAAAGCTCTTAGACAACCGGCCAAGGCGAGGATAACATCCGAGACTTCTTTAACCGAGCGGAGGGCACGGCGCTTGCCCCAGTTCATGGTGTACATCACTGTCATGCTGCGGAAAGGAAGTTCATAGTCGCACCTTCAGTAAGAATGCCAGTGCTGCGCCTGCTGCTGTGAATGATCCAGAGTTGCATGCATGAGCAGCTTTAGTAGCTACGCCTGCCTCCTTGAGAATGAAGCACGTGGACAAAGGAAGTCAAAAGCATGCCATTGATGGCACCTCTCGGGCAACTGCTACCGGTTCGATCAACACTGCCTTAGTTTGAGGGTTAGCTAGCGTCCAGGGCGTTTTTCGATTCTCAACCCAAGACATGCAAACGTGGAAGACTCGGGCTCCTGTGCATTTCCAATGGCCAAGTCTCCTACATGGTCGTGGGCCACAAATAAGGCAGCTTTCATCCCCCTTGGAAGGGATCTCAAAAGGTGAGCGGTCTCAGGATGTTGGGTTCTTTGGCCATGGATCATCCTCTGGTCCAAGACGTCTTCTTTGTCTCAGTGGAAAGATGAACCCTCAAGACAATGGCTGGATCATCTTGCAACTATGTATGTAGAAGCAGACACTGCTGAAACGAAAGAGAAAAATAGCTGGCCAATTCTGGCAGAGACACTGCAACGGGAGGGACGGCAATGCCTCAGTATTTGTCACATCCTTGCACTGCCTCATGCGATCGCAGTCAGGTCGAAGTGCCGCCCTCAGCATGGATGTGTGAGGGCAGTTCAAGAGGGTTTCTGTCTGCACTCTGGGCAGTGTATTCTGCTTCGTGGGACTCACGAAGTTGATAGAGCCTGCTGGACGATTACCAGATTAGTTCATGCATTGACTGGCGCGCATCTCACAATCCTCTAGCGAGGCAGCACGGATGCTTGTCCGGGTGGAATTGCCTCCGCCAAAGGAACAGAAGGCTGGCAAACAGACAGTCCTAAAAGATCGCCTGGCTCGCGTGATCTATCCCAAATATTAGAAACAGACTGCCTTGTGATTACTGCCGGGTGCGAGATCTGGACTGTGCCAGTCAGCTACGATTGTTCTGACGTTTTCCAGGAACTGTTAAGTCAAGATGTGTCTGTGGGTTAAGATGTGCTGCCACAAATTGCCTCTCGCCAACTCTGCAATCATCTCGGTAGTGGAACATTGTCTGTTCAGCTTGAGAGTGGTTTGAGGCCTCCGGGCAAGGAAGTAGTCACGCTCAAAGAGGTTTTTTGATGATCTGCTGTGGGAGGCATGTGAGTTGTTTGCCTGCTGCGCTGATACACCCCATTGGTTCGCGCTGCAGGCAAGCTTTCGAGTTTCCGAGACTCCGCAGTACTCGCCAGTGGAAGATCCTGAAGATCACACAGACACGGACAGCGAGGAGGTCTGTGTTGCCCTCACGTGCGAAAAATAATTAGCAGCGACTCCGTTCCTGCAATGGTTGCCCATGATAGTTAAGCTGTACCAAGAAGATGCAACAGTCGCGTGCCACGACATGGCAGATCTGTGCGAAGCGGATCACCAGGAGATGGAAAAGGAATCGCCTCCTCGGAAGCTTCAGAACTTCCAGAATTTCCAGGTGCATGTAGCAGGTTGCAGCACTGTTTAGCAAATGTAAATGGAGCGAACCTCGAGGTGCCTCTGTGTGCATGTTCTGGTGGCTGTAGCAGTTTGAACGGAGAAACTGTTCCGGCATGCTAGCATGCGCAGAAAACCAGCCTGCGACACCTGCAACGAATGAACTCCTTTGAGAGGTGCATACTGATCACCACCCCAGCCAGACGGACTTTCACCCTCTCCTGGCCACGCACGTGCCACTTGCGGCATCGGTCGATGAGCACCGCTCGTTGAGTTCCCAGCATCTTGATCAGGGTCTTTAACCGGACTGGCCTTGCTGCGGTTTTAGTTCGATAGTGAGCGGATATTTCTTTGCACGGAGGGAAGGATGCTCTTGGTTCTTTGTGAGGTCCATTTTCCCGCCGGGCGCAGCTCCACCTTGACAGCTGTGCGCTGCCAGGCTCGATCCCCACTAATGAACACGAAAATGGAAAAGTCGGACACTGGGGTTATGTAGGGGTTGGGGTAGTATCATATTAGGGGATGCCACTGTTAGATGGCATCCAAACCCTGGCAGCTGGCTGGCCAAGGTCAGTTGACTGAATTCCAAATCCGCTCCAGCCTGAGGTTTCCTGAGGGTATGTACCACGGTTCAGACGAGGCCTCTTTGGGCCTGAGTAGGATGAAAAGGATTATATGTAGTCAAGGGCAAAGGCTTGCAGAATGTTTCGAGCATTTTGATCTGGCCGTGCGAAGCCTCGTCTTAGTCAGGCAAGCTGCTGCAGACTGCTTCAATCAGGCATTCCTGCACTTTTTTTCACATTCGCCGCTCTTATGGCACATAGGCGCCGTGCCTCTTGAGCAAAGGACCACGAGAGATGACTGCATGCTCATTATCATTCCTGGCACAAATCAGTCATTGAGTGTTCTGGTATTAAAGCAATCTTGCCTCTTTGGCTGTCAAACGTCCTTGGGCGATTCTGCACAGTTCCGTTTTGGGGGCGCTGGGCATGTTGCCTGCACTTACTCGCGGTCCATGAGAACATGGCCAGGTAGTTGTAACTCTTATCTGGTAAGAGTTAAGGCTTAGGGTGATGCTGTGCCTGCTGACAAACAGCATACCAGCACGCATGGTGTTATGAGGCTCTGTAGGTATTGATGATTGAGCTGCTATTTTGACCATCATGCATCTACATCTTCTGCTTTCGTCGAGGGCTTAGGCAGGTAGTGCAGGTCACCATCCTGGGTTGACCACCCCGGCGCCACAACAAAGTGCCAAAGGCTAGGCTAACAGCTGTTGCCCATGGCAGTGCTACGCGGATGCACTTTTCGCATCGGCATTTTAAAAGCTCTTACGCGACGAGAAGCTCCAGGCTGAGCCCAGGCTTGCTGGGCTACGAAGAGCGCACATCCCTACCGAAACAAAAGGGGTGTGCCTGGCCCAGCAAGCAAAGAACAGTGCCAAGATGTGCCAAGTGTAGAAGTGAAGGAGTTGGACTGCATGTCAGCCAAGTGCCGTGCCCTGCTCAGCATAGAGACCCTCATCGCAGTGTTTGGGCTGTCTGGGCGGGAAGGCAGCCAGTGACAGAGCGCAAGTTGCACTGAGCTGCCATTTGGCTTTGACTTCACAGATTCCATGCGAGAAAGCGGGATGCCGTTGCTCCAAAGCCCAACGAATTCTGCACAGGCAAAAAGCTTGCGCAACCTCCCTGGGCCAAGCTCATGCGAGGGAGCAAGTGACCTGCTATTAGAGCCAGAAAAATTGATTTTTGCTTGCTAGCGGAGCCGACGAGAAGTTGCAGGAGATGCAAGTCAGAGAGTCGACGAGCTGGTGTTGATGAGGGTGGAAGGCTTCAGAGCGGAAAGTTTGGGGGCTTTGTTCCCTTCTTTTCGATTCCCGATTAAGGGCCGTTTAAGATACCCCCCAAGCCCTATAGCATCCTGCGCAGCCCTAGTTGCCATTTCAATTTCTACAATCCCCGGTTGCTCTAGTTGACAGGTGTCACGGCGGCAGTCGCTGAATCGACGAATTTCTTGAAACCTAGGAAGTACCATAGAAACGGCTCTAGCTTCTGTTATCCCCAAAGACCAATGGGGTCCCAAATGATCCCTCATATAAGGTCTATAAGGCGAAATATACTGGGTTATGCAGGGTTTTTACCTAGTTACAAATGAATTCCCAATATACCCCAATACTTGAGAAATAGACAGAAATCAAAATTCGCATCATGCGGGCCCCTCGCTAGTTTCATCCAGTTGCCAACTGCCAACTCGTGGCATGAATGAGATCCTAACAGCTTTTGCTACAGATGTTGAATTGGGCTTTGGGCGCGTCATGTTTCCACCAGGGGCCTCCGACAACCTCAGCTTCCTCCAGTCCCTCGGCCAGCCCCCTATGGTGTACTTGGTTCAAGCTGCTGGTGGTTGAAGTATCATTTTTTGACAGCACAACAGTGCTCAATCTGAGGCCGAAAGTCCGCCCATCCGAACGGCTCTGGTGGGGGCGCAGCTGTTTGCGAGCCTTATGCATGCGTGTGTCTGCAAATCTTGAATTCTTGCAAATAAAGCTGCTTGCATATACGCAATGCTCGCGAGTTGTGCCTACTCTGCAATACATGTGCATAGAGGTCGCCACGTACGAACTCCTGCGATCTGCATCCGTTGGCCAGCAGGTCCGCCCTATACGAAGCTGCTGGTAGTATTCAAGCACCGCTCCATTTGTTCAATTCGTTGAGAGAAGCTGCCTCGAAGCATATGAGCTATAGTCTAAACTCCTTAAAGGGGGATATATAGGGGGATTCTATAGGGGACTGTTATAGGGGTTATTAAGGGGGATACTAGGAGTTTAGACTATAGCTCATATCAATATGTGGCAAATCATAGCAAGGCCCTGGCCATCCGATATCAATGGGCAAAGGGATGGGCAGGGGCATCAGGCCATCCCATATTGGGGTTTATATAGGGGATATATAAGGGTTATCTTTGGGATAATGGAAAAGAAAATGGAAACTACTATATTACATTAATGAGGAGCTCTAAGACGATTTGGCTGTGCCAGGCTTCTGCAGCCAAAGCCGATGCTGCAGAGGTCCGCCAGGCCAATGCAACAAGGGCCAAGTTGTTACTGTAATCTGGTTCAAGTGGGGCCATGCAACTTGTTGCAGCAAAATGTCAGTATGATGTAAGTAAGGTAGTATAGTTTAATATAATGTAATGTAGTAGAGTGAAGTATAGTGTGGATATTTTCCGAGCACAGGTTGAGCTTCACATCGTCCTGTAGCAGTCGCTAGTCTCCTGTTCGGATAACTAAGAAAATCTCCTTGCAATCGGCAGGGCGTGGATGATGACATTCCCAGCGAGGCCGCGCACTGGTGCGGCCTTGTAACTTTGGGGTTGAGAATTCGAATTCTGGGCGATGCCAGTACTGACAAGCAATGACTTGCACGCTCTGAAGGACCACGCATGCCTAAGCTGAAGGTAGTGACCTAACATGCGCGTGCGTGTGCTTTCCTCTTGTGCAGGCCACGTTTGTGAATTGTCAAGGTTGCTGACCGGCCTCCAGAGCGGCTGTGCATTGGCCTCAGCTTGCAGACGACTTCCAAGCATGATGGATATGTGAATCCCTCCACGACGAATCACACTTGGCAAGCAACTCTAGCGTTTATCACGTGAACGGGGAGGCGTGCCTGTGCAAGCGTCTCTCCAGTTGGCTGATGATCATCTGGAAGTGGAAAGGCACTTTGCAGCTAGCCGATCCGACTTTTCAGGTCTTCCGGTTGCCCGACTGTCTTGCCGGCCGCCTCCTGAGCTGCAAGACTGCTATGACTAAAGGCTTGGTGAGACCGCTCAGAACATTCCCGTCACGACTGTCAGCTATCTCGCCGGGCGATCAGTGGTCACACGCGGGGTTGCGCACTTTTCGCTCCTTGGATATCATCCTAGCAGCATATCGCCCTTGAGTAGACATGCAATTCAGGGCTCTGAAGCAAAGATGGGGTTCTCTTGTATCCCAGCGCAGAAGACCAGGGGCCGCATGAAGGTTTCATTTGGGGAAGGATGAAATACCCAATAACGCATAATGTGTCATCCGAGTCCATTCAAATTCTTATCCCTGAAAAAACTGAAGCCTTCAGAGTCTACGTTAATCAAGGATGCCACAAGAAACGCCTCTCCGAACAAAGATGCACTAGTAAGTGGGCAAAATTTGCTAGAGTGTTCTGAACACATGACTCAGCAGTCGGCTTGACAGCCGGCTTCGTAAGTAGCCTTGCAATATGCCACACGATGCGACGACAAAACCTTTGGATGAGAGAAGGATGGAGAGGATGTCGTCGGTTGCAGTGATCCCAGTTTCCATTTAATTTTCCATTTTCTTTTCCATTTGATTCTCCATTATAGGGCCCTAAACCCTATATTATGGGGTACCATAGCATGTTTTTTCAATCTGGAGCATGGTCTGGCTAAGGCCACCGCTACGCCTTGCTGAAACAGCCTTGTCCGAGGTGCAAGATGGATGTGGCTGTGAGGGTCTGGAAGGTCGTACTCGTATTAAGCAGCATACTTCATGAGGAGAATGTCCAGCCCTCTAATTTTGTTAGGAGGTGCGGTCTCGATGGAGTTCTAAGAAGCTCTCCTTCCAGGTTGCTATTTCTCATGACAAGCACGCGACAGTAGATTGGGAGCAAGTGCTTCTGGCTGGCAGGTCGTCCTGCCTGGAGCTCAGTTGGACTACGATTGGTGACAAACATTGCGTGCTTAGTACCATTCAGCACATGCAATGGGATCATCATCAATCACGGGCAGAGATATCATAATCAAGAGTCCTGGGATATAGATCAGTTGGGATTGATCTTCAGCAAACAACCAAGATGCAGGAATCTCAGAACCAAGATATGAAAGATATTTCTTTTCAATATAGGGTCTTGATCAGAAAGGCTCAAGGTTGAATATATTTCGGTAACTTTCAAAATCGGAACGTGAAATAAATTCAATTTTGCAAGAGGCTTCCTCATATTTCATAGATTTATCTAAGAGGGAGAGCTTGAAGATGAAGAAAAATAGATAGGAAAATTGCATGAATATTTTCTATTCACAAAAATCGGAATTTCATAGCAAGGAAATAATTTTCATAAGATAAATTTACGAAAAGATGATGATCGGTCGATATTTCTGAATATTCCCCAGGATTCTCGTAATGCCTTTATCTGCATACGATAAAAATTAGGAGGGCATAGGAAGAGATGGGATGACGGCTTGCGGGATATATCCTATAATTTAAGAATTCTTTGATTCTTAATTTCTATTTCATTTTCTATTTTGCTAGTTAATCGAATCTGTATAATTGCAATTTTATAAGTTCTATAAAGAATTTCTGGATAAATTCAATTCAATGATAATTTCTCTCCTGAATTCTTGTTTTTTTTTTAATTTGGATGCTTAAATATATATCGTTATATATATCTATCATAATTAAAGAGCTTCTTTTAATGATATAGATTGAATTAGAATTTCTCGTATCTTTAAAAAATAATCGAATTATGAAATCTTATATTATTTGATTTAATTTATCATTGTTAATGAGAAATCTGTATTCTCTATTCTAGATAAAAATGATTTATTAACAAAATGATAGAAATATGAAGAGTCTAAGGTAAGGGTAATTATATATATTATATATTTATTGAATATATATTCTAGATCATTCTGGTAAAAATAATATGATTTGATTATTTTGAAGAAGAATTCTAAGATACGAGGTCTTATTCTCTATGATGAATAATTCAAGAATAAATAAATTTATATATCTGATTATTTACGAGAAATATCTATGCTATTCTAGAAAATCTATATCGGAATTCTTCTCATTATTTTCAATTTTTATAGATATTGAATATAATATATATTCTTGAATATATATTTTCATACTAAAAGAAGATATATCTATAATATTATTCATATTATCATATAAAATTAGATAAAATCAATTCATAAATCATATTTCTATTAATTTTTGCTTCTATTTCTATTAATAGATTCAAAATTATATATGATATCGAAATAATTCAAGAAATTTTGATTAAATTCATGATTTTCATAATTCTTATCTA